GTTTCATTCGTACTGAGACTGATGGCTTCAACAACACAGCGGCACATAACCTGATCACATGAGAAGTGTGGGAGAGCATCTGTCAGGATTTTATCCAGGCAAGGACTGTACTCACCTCATGCGTACATTACATCAGTTGTTCGGACAACATTCCGCATATCGCCAACCAACACCCCGACTCCGTGAATAAATAAGCTCCTCTGCTTATCCATGGCCGATGTCCTTGACGTTTCCAAACACTCCATACCCTTCATGTTCGATCCATTAAGTGACCTTACCTTACCGTCACACCTTACCTTGGTGTGACGGTTTTTGCGCCTCCGTCATCCATTAAGTTAAACTGGGTAGTGTCCGTGCGACACTCACGGAATCTCTGTCACATCAGGTCGGTCAATGGACAAAGGTTTCATCAACAATACCCTGGTCCTGGGGGTTAAAACATGTGTGGCGACAGGTACCATAAAATTGGTAATGCACTTGTTTTCCCGTCACACATTGCTGCCTCGCGGTCAAGATTTTGAGCATGCCGTCTTCTCATCTAGGTCGGTGCACACTGGCAATATCCGAGCCCACAGGTCCCAGCTGTTTGGTAAACGAACAAAAGAAATCTGCCAAATCTATTCGGCGTAATCAATCGTGTACTCCAGTATCCCTCCTGGTCTCGGCTTCTTTCCTCACCGTTTCCGTTGGGTGATTTTCGTTTTCCATGCTTTCAGTGCTCTCGGTGGCATACGTCTCAAATAAAAATTGATTTCCTGTGAATACTTCCTTAACCCAGCATACTCGTTCGTGCTCTGGATTTTCGTCTTCTCGTGAGACTGCATTTACCTGCACTGTATTAAATAATCTAAATAAGTTTGCCCCCTGTTTGGCACTACTGCTCCAAGACTGAACGGGCTCGAACCCCAGCTTCATATTCGCGGATGAGGTGGTTGAGCTACTCGACAAATTTATCCACCTTGGCAGCTGTATCACTCCCGTTGGTTTAGCCAAAAATGATATTTTCATTCAAATTGGGAAGGTCAGAGAGGCTTCTACCAACCTTCGTCACCTGTGGTGAAGGCGTTATATTGGATTATCTGTCAAGGGTTGTGTTTACAATACCGAGATGAGTTCCACGCTGTTATGCGTGTCAAAAACCTGGTCGGCGCGCGCTGCGAGCGTTAAACATCTGTCGTTGTCTGTCGATGACTTCAGGGTATTGCAGTGGTCTGGTGGGAACACCGGGTCAGTGATGCCGAAGTGCATCAGAGCGATGTAGCCCAAGTAGTTAGAGCGCAAATTTATTGACCAGAATGTCATCATCAGCATCATCGACAGCGTGACATCATTGTTCAACACCGGCGCTTCACTGTCGAACCACCATAGTTTGTTTGAAAGTCTTATCGTAAGGAACAGAGTGAAGGTGGACGGGGGACGGGCGTAGTGCTAGCTTACGACGATCATTCCAAGGTGCCTATACCTCCAGACATTCATTCATGCAAGCTGGATAGAAACTGACAACAAGAACGCCACTGACATCGGCTGGCAGTCATATCTTGTAGTGTCTCCAACCAGGTACAGTGAGGATCACGCGGTCCCCATCCTGGAAGTGTGTCTGATGAAGTCAGTGCAAGAATCTCAAAGGCTCGAATCATGTTTGCTAATTTGCATCACTTGTGGCGTCAAAAGGGCATCTCACTGGATCTTAAGGGTCGTGTGTACCAGGCTACAGTAAGGGCTGTGTTGTTGTATGGGTGCGAGACATGGCCTCTTCG